TCTGATGGAAAAAACTGCCTGTTCCCAACTCAGATCAGGGTAGACCTGACACTATTCTAGATCCATAGGAAAGCCAATTTTTAACCTAGAACCCTTAGTATTAGAGAGGCAAAAAAAGCTGGCAAGCTAATCTGTCACATCTTCCGGGTGTGTTGAACAGTTGTAGAATACTTGACAACTAAGCTGAATACATCCCCAGTAAGGGAGATAAATACTGAGACAAAACACCTTCCAGTGCTGAAGGAACTTTCCATCACTGAAATTCCAGCACTTCCTTTTCTGGAAGAGAACCAGTAACTCTGTCCTCACATTTACTTTAAGAAAATGACCTTTTAAAGTAAACATGGCTGCCTGTAAAAAGTTTTTTTTATATCACAGAAATTACAGACTTTAGCCCTCACTTAAATAAGCCATCAAAGAACTGCACACTTAAACTTTTTCTGAACAATCCAAGTGGCTGGTAAACACACGGCTCAACTGATGCTATTAGTTGCTTAATACTCAGTATTTCATGCACAGTAACACACAAGTATTCCACGAAAACTGACCAAGGAAGCTTCTTCACCTTGAGTACAGCTGGTCGAAATTGAGTCATCTGATCTGTTCAAGATGGTCATGTAAATTTATAATTAAGATGCAGTTTTAAAGAACAGTGCAACATGAAAACGCTACTATAGCACCATGAGATATATCTTCATACTTCATAATCATGACTGAGTTACAAGCTTGGGAAAAAAAATTAATTCAACTCATACACAACCAACTTAATATAAAGCAAATTACAGCACGTGATACAAAAACTCTAAAAGACCAACATTTTATTATACCTGTATTTTAGGGTTTTTACAGGAAAATCCAAATTTGCTTCTCCATATGCAAGGTGTACACTTTCATTGTCCCTTGTGTGAAGCATTCTCTCTGCTTCCTGAAAATTCCAAGTAAAAGGTTTATAAAATTACTCATGCAGCAGAAATCGAAGTATCTCATGCTGACAGTTAATTTTCATACGGGTAAGGGGCATTTCCCTGTAGGTACTGGAGTTGAATGCAGGAGATATAGTTTAAGACCTTTTTTCTTAGAAGTGTTTTATCCAGGTAGGGGGATAGGGGAGTGGGGTAGGAGGGCGTACAGCTGGTGTACAGTTAGGTAAGACTTTTATGAAGATGTTATACAAGCTATATTACTATATTATTGGTAACTAGCAGCTGGTTTTAACTACAGCTCTGCAAACACACACAAGCAAAATGTCCCTGATACGATGAACAGTTTTGTGATTAATTTGAGCAGGGTAAAGATCCCTGCTGCACTGCTTTTCTCTCCCATCCACACCCACCTTCTAACCTGATGAAAGGCAAAGAAAACAACATTTTGTACTAAAAACTGCTCCTTTCCACTTTGCTTGCTAATTTTAATCACAAATAAGAGTCATAGTTCATAATAGCACCATTGACGCAGTGACTTTTCCTTAACTTAATTGCCAGTAATAGTTCCTCTAGCATTAAACCTCATTGGTAAAGAATTTCAAAATGTGTATTTGGTATGTAAGGTCATATGCTCAGGCCACTTAAAATTCTTTTAAGTCTCATTGAGTATTTTCTAGTAATTTACAACATCCTTAGTTCGATTGTTACTTACTGCTTTCTCTTTTTTCTTTTTGTCATCTTCTTTCTTCTTTTTACTTTCTGGCATAAGATCATCAAGCCAGCTAAGCTCTCTTTTGGTGAAACATAAATCCATGAGCTTGCGAATGAATACTAACGCTAGAACCTTAAGGGAACCAGAAATGGAATCATTTCTATTAAACTATTTAAATTAACAAAAATGCACACACACTTTCAGTACATTCAGAGTCTTTAACGAAAGCCCTTTTTTGTAGTACTAATTTTCTCTTACCACAAAGTTAAATCATTTCCACTTTCAATAGCTATTCACAACTGAATTGCTTATTTTCAGGAAATGAAAAGTCCTTGTGTTTTAAAAGTGAACAACTTGTACTACAGGTTCTTTTGTTTCTTTCCCACTCCCTTCTTTCTTAAGGCAGCAAATGCATTCTGAAGGGATCCTGGATGATGCACGTACTCTTGGAAAATTATTAACTTGTAAAACAGATAACTTACCATCATAGGGAAAACAACAGCAGCTGCAGAGGCTTTAATCACCCACAACAGAACCAGACAAGTGAGCTGAACAACTGTAAAGATATGGACCTTCCAGAGTGGCACATAACGTAGATAAATCAGGTCTGGTTGATGTTTGGCAGGCATTCCAAACAGTTTTATACGGTCAAAAAACTGCATTGAAAAATAAAAATCATCCTTCAGTTAATTATTTTCTTCCCCTCTGGAAGGAAATAAACATTTTTAGGGGACTCCAGAAACATAAATTAATCCCAGTGGGGCTGGGGGCTGTTTTGTGGCAGTTTTTTTCAGCCACTTATTACTACTACAAAATTTCAGAATATTTCAGAAAATTTGTTGCTCAGTTACACTACTGAAAGAATAAATGCAAAAGAACTGAGAAGTGAAGACACAACACAGTAAGAACAAATATCTGAACATGACACTCAGGAAATTATCCTACATACTATTCAGTCAATATGGGCTAGCTTTATTGTTGCTCACATAAATAATACGTTACAGTTTCCTTTTCATTTAGTGTTAAACAAAAGCAAATACTCATTAAAATCAGACTTTACCTGAATGCCTTTTAATGAAGATACTCCCATGTAAAGAAAGACACCATACAAAACTGGCATTGGAATAAACTGGGGAAAAAAACACAGTTACTTGTGGAATCAACATGGCATAACATAGCAGTCCGTATTAGTGAAAGACATGGACCAAGTTATTTTTTACTTTATATTTTACTTAAGTGAAATCTGTAAAACCTGAGGCTCTTTATTTATAGAGAAAATATATGCATCGAGCAACAAAAAAATCTAGAGCTAACAAGGCTATCACCAGGATTAAAAAAGTAGTTCAGTCTTGACTGCCCATTCATTCAATTTTCTAGGTTGCAACCAAGATTTCTATTAATGCTAAGTATGCTGCTTAGGAACTGTATCGAGACCATCAACTTCATGAAATTACCATATGAAGTTTTACTTTTGATCACTAATCTTGCATTTCTGGAGCAGATGAAAAAAAACCCACCATACCTACTGAGCTATGCAAATCTGCTAATTATTCAGGGCTAAATTTTGCTCCAATAAGATGATCAGTTTAAAGCTTACTAAGACAATGAAGTTGTCCACTGATTTCAGTGGCACTTGCATCAAACCTCTGCAGCCTACACAAAGCAAGTGAAGCTTTCTTTGCTCCTGAATTCATAAAACTCCTGAGTAAAGGACAGCCAAGATACAACTCAAAATCTTAATAAAAACTGCTGCTATCAAGCCTGAACAAAAGCCTTTACTGAAATTTAAATAGTGTGGAATAAAACTATGCTTTGGGGATTCGTTACTGCACATATATATGTGTGTGTGTGTGTGTGTACATATACATATATATATGTGAGCTCTATAATTTGACATGCTAGTACTTCATTTATGTTAACTTCTACTGCATTAAATCAGTATAAATCCATACATGGAACAAAAGCACAGCAACCTACAGATGCAAGGCTTTGTCCTCCTTCCTTCTTTCGAACAATAACAGCCATTCACATTGAAAAAGAAAAACATTTCATAAAGAGCAAATAATAATAATTCCATTCCTATTACCCTTGGTTCCATAAAAAAATAAAAGCATTAGTTTCTAAGAATCAGCTGTTAAAATGTGGGGTAAACATGTAGCTTCAGCAATCAGCACCTTTTGAGCAACAATAAATCTATTTCAATATTTCTGCTTCTGATTCTGATCATCTGCATTATACATCTGAGCTCTTGGTAGCTTTTCAACCAGAGATTGTCAAATCTGAATACTCATTTTTAATAACTGCTACTGCCTTACTGTTTTCAGACCTTTACATTCTTTAACACATACAAATGGTCAACTATTAAGAATATGTAATACATAGCTCTAATTACTGAATTACAGCTATGTGTTCATAGGTTTATTTCTTCCCATTATCTAAACTTAAACAGCCATTAGAAGCTACTTTTTTGTGAAAGGACTTGTGATCTGTCTTGAAACTGACTTTTACAAAGTTCTTTAAAGGTATTAGCAATTATGCATTTTATGCCGTATCTGCTATTTTGGCAACAAGAAGACAGTTTTTTTATTTCTCCTTTTAACTATTGGATTTGAAACAACAAAGCTGAAGTTGAATGGATTTTACTCAAATCTGAGCAAAAAGTCAACTAGACTGATTGGTTTTCTTCCAATAAAGTCTTCGGAAGGGCACTATGGATATAAATTAAGAGACAAAGTGTAAACTGAGGCCACAATACGACCTGCAAAATCTCTATTACACTGTGATGATGCATAAGATAACCTTGACACTTTAAACATCAAAGGAAGTTTAATACACTGAAGATAAGAATGAAAAGTGAAAGTGTCACTTCTAATGATCACCTTTTAAACAAGATGTTTCTGTTTCTTCTGCTATATTATATTACTTCCGCTCAAGTAACTTTTTCTCTTTATCACACTCCTTTTCTGTCTCCATTTATGCACTCACATAAAAACTACAGAAGAACTATTTTGGGTAACGTGAACTTGAGAAACTGAAAAATAGCTGGCAAGAAAATCAGGTAACATGGACAAAGCTTGTTTTCTTCACTACTCACTACATTTCTAGCTTGCTCAGATTTCATTTTCTTACATCTCCCCCATCATTTCTTTTCAACTAACACCCGTTGTTAAAAAGGCAATTTGAGAATGAGTCCAGGCATATTTTATTTAGCATAATAGAACTTCCTAACATTATGAAATGCTAAATCACAATATCAAAATCAAAAGCACAAAAGAAAACACAAATATTTTGGAAAAACTGTGTTTTACCTTTAACACAGAGGTCATGAACACTGACAACCCCATCAGGACAAAAATCATCAATCCTGTCACTCGCTGCTCCCGGATTCCCAAAAACTTTGGTTGCTCTCCTGGTGCTGAGCATTCAGATTCAACTTTCAGGCTATTAACATGACTTATAGACAGGACAGTTGCAGCAACAAACCACGGTAAGCCCATGACAGAACATATCCCCAACATAACACCAACCATGAGCAGATCAAGATGATAACCACAGCCTTTCTGTAAAATTAAGTGAACAAATCATTTGATAAACTTTCTATTTATATTATACCATATTTGTAACTTAGCTGGTAAATAACAGATAACTACCAAAGTTAGATACTTTGAGTGTGTCCAAAAATTGTATTTGTTCTTTATTAGTCAATATATACATTTATTTAGTAGCTGTTGGTAACATTTCACAGACTTGCAGAATGAATTTGATTTAAAATAAACTTGACCTACGTATCATTGGAGTTTTGTGAAAATTACTTTTACCTTCAGCTTATGCTCTTTCCTGTTTATAATAACAGCTGTTATTTGTTGATCCATGAAAATGAGAATGGTACAGAGTAAAGCAGGAACAGCAGCTACCAAGAGTGTCCACCAGGGATTGCTTCCAAGAGGATCTATGAACCATCCTCGGTCTTTTCGGGTGGGCTGAAAAAACAAACACCAACAATAAGAATTAAGTGACTATGATAAAATGCAGATTTTGTTGCTACAAACAGCTGCAATGAACAGATCAACAGTCTCTTTAATTTGTGTTTAGATTTTTTTCCCAATGGCTTTGACCAAAAGACTGATTTAGCTGTTACATGTGAATATGGAAAAAATTAAAACAAATCCAATCCATTCCTTCATTTCTACACATTTGCACAAAAGAATGCTTCCTTTTCAGTGATATTATAATATAAAGCATAGTCTCTTCTGTCAGATGAGACATACATCCAAAACAGGAAAGGGAGATTACTTCATCAACTACATTGTAAGTAAAAAAGATAAATTTCTGTTTCTATATAATTCCATTGTTCTACTGTCTATGAAACTGCAAGCATTTAAAAAGTTAAGTTTTTTTGAAAGGTTTTATTTCTTACTTCAAATTTCTCTGGAACATGAAGCTTAGGAGAAGGTACTCCTACAAGGTAGTCAATCAAAACCATGATAACTATGGTCAGAAATACTGCAAAGTCACTGATGGTAGAACGCACCTAAAAAGAAAAGACTTGTGTTAACTCTTGCTTTTTCATTATTATAATTTGCATGTATAGAAAGACAATTTTCTCCCATATGAATAGTGAAGTCTATTTATATTATACTACACCACTGACCGTTATATGTATTTTCTCTATTTTAAAATTTAAGCGGCCTGCCAGCATAGCATGAAGTTGCAGAAGGTAAGTATTCTGTACAACTGTTCATCCAATTATCTCATTTAAAATGATCTACTGCAAGCAGCAAATGACTTAAAATAATTCCCTCCTCATCTTCCTGTCCTCTCAACCCTACTGGGAGGCTGGGCCATCACAGCTAGTCTCTTGTAGCTTAATTCAATAACATCACTGAATTGTTCTGAAATCAATATTCATACATTTGATGTTTTAATAGAGGGGGGGGATAATTTGCAATAGATTCAGGTTATCAAAGGTGACTTTATTAAACATTAGGAACATATTGTAGGGATGAGCTGAGGTTTAGAGAAGATCTAACTGCTTTATCTTGGTTAGCAGAAGTAAGTTGCGTAAATCAGTCCAAGAATAATCATTTTATTAGCCTCTATTAGAAATAGTAATCTCCTGAGGAACTGCTCAGAACCCTTCATACATCAGCAGTTTGGGGAAAGCAATCAATTGTTCTGTACAGCTAGGTGAGGAAAACAGCGGCAATATTATCTCTCCAAATGATACATGTCAATACCCATTAATATGGGGAGACAGACTGCTTAGGTCTTCTAATGTTTAGAACATCTTGTTGTAACTATAGGAATGTAGAGAGTAAGCACTGAATTTTCAGCAGCCAATTTATTTACTCTAATGTCTTCATTTTCAGAACTATTAGCTAATTTTCTGTTTTTAATTTCTTTTCCTGTCTTAAAAGAAATCTCTCAATAAAAAGTTCTGAAGCAAAACAAAAAATTCAACTCTTAAATTATACTAATGTATTTATCACAAGATAATAATAGTCTCTAATCAGAATTACCTTAGTTGGGAAATAGCGTTTGGTCTTGAATTGCTTAAGGAAAGAGGAGAGGAAAAATGTTGTAAAGAATAATATGACAGACCAGAAGAGAACATCTGGAATATATGGTCCATGATGGCCACAAGCTGATCCACGAAACACACCATGAAATTGTAAACATTCCTGCAAAGAGAAAAACTCCTTAAATTTGTATGTTTTATTCACTTAGTACATTCAACTAACTTGTAGCCTTTCGATACAAAACACACCTGAGAACTTTCACAACCCCAAAAAAGGGCTTCCTTCCTTCATCACTAGCTCATCCTGAAATGCCAAAAATTTGGCTGTCTGTCCAGAAGAGCCACAGTATCCATCACTGATTACTTCAGGATGCCAAAATGCTGGGAGGTGCCCAAGAAGAAACAACTTCTTTACATTCACCTCATTTCTATTCTATTTCTCAAAGCATCACAAGATTGAATGCATAAAGAAAGACTGAGGACTAAACCCAGGAAAAGCTGACTATCCAACATCAACTTTGAAGCTGATGAACATTTAAATCTAAATTTAAAAAAAAAAAAAAAAACAAAAAAACAACCTCCTCAATTTCTCCCATCTCCTTATTCTTGACTTTGTTTTGTCCTGATACGGTTAAGGAAAAAACACTCTTACAAAATAAGATTAACCCAACTGTAAGAAAAAAATTGCTAGTAAATAGAAAAGCATTGTAAATAATGGATTTGAATAAAAAAGAAAACAAAGTCAGACGATCCCTATCCAAAAGGCTCACTGAAAATCAAAGCAAAGAATTAAAGTAGGCACAAGGAAACAACAAGCCAATAAATCAAATAGTTGGAAGCAGCACTGCCACAACCTAGTCTTTAAACAGGTTAATTTATCAAAAATTTAACTTATGACAAAAATTTTCCCTGTTAACAATCCACTTTGAATATAAGCACCACCAAATTCTGGATCAGTTCTGTCTCTCTGGGAAGACTAAAGGTGCTTAAGAGAATGAAAAGGTATATAGAATAAATAATAAATATAAAATAAATACAAAAGCTAAGTTCAAGAGAAACTGCCATCCTAGGTGATTATGGTAGACTAGGAGCCATTGGTGGTACATAGAAAACACTACAGCTAAAACTCAAGTAAAGCACTGAGGTTTTTCATAGTATTTTTGCTGTGTAAAACACCTTGTACTTTCAGTGTGAACGTCTAGGCTCACACACAAGAAGAGCCCATATACAGATATCTACTGCCATTTTAGATAGCCTACAATGGTCAAAGTAGGCACACACAGCTAGCAAATGCAACACAAAATCTATAGCAGATCCCAATCATTCAAGATGTAGGTGGAAACCAGACGCCAGGGTATGCAAAGTGGCTGTAGACAGCTGCATTTAGGCAACTGAATCCCACTCAAGGAACTACTGATCAGCAAAAATGTTTCTTCCTAAAAGCCTCCAGTATCACTTCCACACGATAACTTTCCTCCTCCTCACCTACCCACAAAATTAGATATTGTTATGAAATATCCAGTTCAGAAGGTAATGCTTTCAAGCCTATTCCTTCAAATAGCTCTTCCCTTTTTCTTTTAACCTTCAATTTTCCAAATCATTATTTTCCTCCAATCAATATTCAGGTAGTTTCTTTGATTCTGTTGTAGTGTTATACCAATGTCTAACAAACTAATGAAGTGCATTTGCTACCACATTTTAACTGCAGATTCCATCTTCACATCTTCTTAAAAATATTTGTTCATCCTTTCCAGGAAACTGAAGGAAGCAATCTCCTGTTTATTCACCTCATCATATTCATCTGCACTTCAGAAAGAAGACTGTTCTGTCTAGCAGGATTAAAGTGGCTACCTCTAGCAGACATTTACGATACTAGTATTTACTGCCATGGACTTGCTCATTCAAACCACTAAAATGACTGTTTAAAGCATTATGGGAGCAATAAGAGAGTTAAAGAAAACAGTCCAGGTTCAAATCAAGAAAGAAACCAGATGAAAAATATTAAATCAAGACTGGTACTGTGTAAGTATTTATTTTTTATACATACATATATATGTACATACACACACATATACAAATAGCTTTTAGATACTCACAGAAACTGTAAGGTTACTCCATGCTATATTTTCCGCAGACTTATTCATACTCCTCCACACCTGCAAAGTTTCGTTACTGGGTTTCTCAGGCTCAGAACACACACATCTGAAGGGAAGAAAAAATAATTTACATGCTTTTAAGCCGTATGTGCCAAAATGCAGTGATTCACAGTAATTTCAAAAATCCTAAGGAGTTTAAACCAGAGTTTAGCCCAACCTTCTATGAAAGAAGCATAGTAGAAGACTCCTCCTTACATGACATGAACTAGGATTATTGGCGGGGGTGGGGATGGGGAAAATGAAGAACCAAAGAAGTGACTGCTCAGGAGGTTTAACAGATAGTACCAAAAAAATCAAACTATGTATTTTAAAGAATTAGAAGCAGGCAAGATGTTGACTTAACTACATGATTGATATGCCAGTGTTTAAATAGAATGACACATGAAAACCAAAATGAAATAGGTAATATATGCAGACTTCCACATATTGTGAATAAAAAGATGAAGATAAAAATCCAAATGACACCACCTTCCAATAACCCTATACTAACATATGTTGTGTTATTTCTAAAGATTTCTACATAATGGGACTAACTGGGTGCAAACAGTTTTCTATGACACTGTACAAATCAAGGTTTTTAGATTTCTATAGAGCATAACATCCCACAATGATTCAAAATTCAATTAGTCCTACTGTACACCAACACAAGAGAAAACAGAGATTGAAACCATTTCATTTAAAAAATTGGTGTAGATGACATAGTTTCAGCAACTCCTTTTCAAACCAGACATGTCATTAGCCTCTAGATGTTTCCGAGTCTTTTCTAAAATTTTGGTAGAGTGAGCCATTTATCTTGCATTTGGCATGCCTTCTAATCTACACATGACCAAAACTGGTCACCCTGAACTAAGACATCATTTTTAAGTATGTAGTGGGCTAACTGAAGATATAAATGCATAAATTGCTCAGATTTAAAGCAACTGCATACATGCATTTTTAATAACTTTTTGAACAAGTGAAAGTGTCCCTCCCTGCTGCAGTGGTTTGCAAACTTGGACTGCAGAATCCTTTCTGTCAGACAGGTTGACAGAAGTACACATCAGTAAAAAAAAAAAAAACCACCACAGCACACTGAATATTGATTTAATGGGATGTTTTCAAATAAAGCTATTCAAGTACACCAAACCATAAGCTTAACATGTAAACGTTTATGTAGAAGAAGAAAAACAGATAATAAGCAAGAAATAAGTCTTCTTCTATGAGATCCATCAAGATACTGAAAAACAGAGAACCACGGAAGGGCAAACTTGCATCCTGATAGTGTGAAGGTAAGGAAGGAAAAAACACTAAATGTGCACGGGCAAATGAATCTAGATTTGCGAAGCACAATGTTTAGGGAACTTAAAAAAATAAGAAGTAAATATACTTTCTTTTTATAACTGCATCCTAAAGTAACAGCAAAAGGAAATTGGAAAGAAGATTGGAAAGCAGTAGTTCCTATGAGGTAGCTGCAAACAGAGTAAGTAAAGAATAAATCAGAAGAGAAAGGAATTGCAACAATAAGTATGGCAAGACAAAAAGAAAGCATCTTTAGTTGTTGGTCAAGGCAGTAACACGAACAAGCATGCCGAAGGAAGACTGACAGACAAATTTCTCAACAAATGCAATGAAGATAAAGGATGCCACCAAGTAGGTAAGTGGAAATCCAGGAAGAGAAAATAAAAACAGAAAATGTAAGAGTATTTGAGACTGTCTTCTGGCTCACTTAGCTGAAGATGCTTGTTCCGCATCCTCTTCCCCATTGGGGGAACAGAGGGAGGAAAAAAAAAAAAAAAAGAAAAGGGAAAAAAAAAAAGGCAATTGTAAAAGGCTGGATCTCCTACAGCTTTGTCACAGAAAAGAAATGCAGGACAAACCAAAGCTGAAATCTGCGGCACGTCCTGAAAGACATGTGTGACACCTCACAGAGCTAAACCAAGGAAATGTCACACCTTCCTCTCTCCGCCCTCATGGCCTGCCTGTGCTAGCACACAAAACGCAATCAGGTGGCAAGGGTCAAAAGACCTACAGATCTACAGTACAGTTTCTGCCAGATTAGTGAATTTAACACGTTCACACAGGAGTCCAATGAGGTCCCAGAGCCACTGAAACAGAAGAATGAGCAGCCAGGAGAAAGGGGGAAATTAGGAAGTGAGTGTACTCCCACGGCCTACTCCTGGCCATGTGGCCTGGTCTTAACAGCTGTTAAGACAGGAAAGTGAGTGTAAATGCCACGCGTGAATGGAATACAAGAAGCAGTTTGGGAGGGTGTTTGCCCAAAACTGATCACGTTGGAAGATGACGACCATCAGCTAGATTAAATAGTAACAAAGGAACTACAAAAAGACTTTGGGAGGCGGGGGGGAGCGTGGGGAAGGAATCATCTTGAAAGGAAGTATCAAAGAAGCATGAATGTTTGTAAAAGAGAGGAGAGATCTTGGAGTGGAAACACAATAGTCAAAACCTGGTTTGACACTGCCAGAAGTCACCCTGCATGCATCATGATCTCTGCCTTGGCCAGGCAGAGCAGCCGCCCAGCGGGACGGTGAGCAGTCTCCCTTCAACTAGGGACTGACTGCAGGGTGCAACAAATAGGGACTCCCACCTCAGACTTATGGAAGCAACCTTGCAGGGGGCTCCCTCACCAGCATGTGACCTAGCAGACTACGGAGAACCACACAGGTACAAATAAAGCTGGAGGACACACACCTGCAACAGGAGGGGAGCACTAGCAGAGAAACCTGTGCTCCTCAAAGATGGTGTGTGATTGTAACCCCCATGTCTGGGGCTGGAGAGTAATTATTGGTGCGGGTGCGATTAGAACTTTTGGGGATTACTAACAGAAGACAATTTAAAAATGTGTAGGATCTTACTAGTATTTAAGTGTCTCACATTGTGGTTTATCTGCTGTATTACTGATACTGACCCTGAACGTATGGATCACTGATTGATGGTTAATTGTGTGTTGTTGATCAATCAAAGAACAGCTTTGCTTTTGATTTGGTTTAAATTATGTGAAATGAGCAGTTTCTCTCAGCAACAGTTAGCAGGATCTCCTCCTTCTGGCAGGTGTGAGCTGGTAACCCAATTCATCATATTTCATGAATCTGTACCACAAGCTTGGAAACTCCACACTGAGCAGCAAAAGATAAAGCAGCACTTAAGCATATCATCACAAACTAAAAAAATACAGTGTCAAGACACATGGTATAAAAAGTGCTCAACGCTCATTTCACCATATAAGCAAACTCTCTTAATTCAGAAGTGGTACAAATGCACACTAAAAGGTAGTGCATTGGGTTTGCATGGCAAGGTTTTGGTAATTGCGGGGACTTCAGGAGTAGCTTCTGTGAGAAGCTGCTAGAAGCTTCCTCTATGTCCAATAAAGCCAATGCAGGCCGGCTCCAAGACAGACCCACTGCTGGCCAAGGCCGAGCCCATCAGCAACAGTGGTAGCGCCTCTGGGATAACATATTGAAGAAGGGGAAAAAAAAATATTGCGCAACACGAGCAGCAGTCAGAAGAGAGGAGTGAGAATATGTGAGACACCAAGGTCAGTGAAGAAGGAGGGGGAGGAGGTGCTCCAGGTGCCAGAGCAGAGATTCCCCTGCAGCCCGTGGTGAAGACCATGGTGAGGCAGGCTGTCCCCCTGCAGCCCATGGAGGTTAACAGTGGAGCAGGTATCCACCTGCAGCCCATAGGAACCCACGCTGGAGCAGGTGGATGCCCGAAGGAGGCTGTGACCCCGTGGGAAGCCCGCGCTGGAGCAGGCTCCTGGCAGGACCTGTGAACCCATGGGGAGAGGAGCCCACGCTGGAGCAGGTTTGCTGTCAGGACTTGTGACCCCGTGGGGGACCCACGCTGGAGCAGTCTGTTCCTGAAGGACTGCACCCCGTGGAAGGGACCCATGCTAGAGCAGTTCGTGAAGAACTGCAGCCGTGGGAAGGACTCACGGTCATGGAGAACTGTCTCCCATGGGAAGGGCCCCAGGCTGGAGCAGGGGAAGAGTGTGCGGTGTCCTGCTCCTGAGGAGGAAGGAGCGGCAGAGGCAACGTGTGATGAACTGACCGCAACCCCCATTCCCCGATCCCCTGTACCATGCAGGGGAAGGAGGTGGAGAATTTGGGAGTGAAGTTGAGCCGGGGAAGAAGGGAGGGGTGGGGGGAAGATGTTTTAAGATCTAGTTTTTATTTCTCATTACCCTACTCTGATTTGATTGGTAACAAATTAAACTAATTTTCCTAAGTCAAGTCTGTTTTGCTCATGACACTAATTGCTGAGAGATCTCCCTGTCCTTATCTCAACCTATGAGCCTTTCTTTGTATTTTCTCTCCCTTGTCCAGCTGAGGAGGCAGAGTGATAAGAGTGGCTTTGGTGAGCACCTGGCATCCAGCCTGGGTCAACCCACCACAGGTAGATAATATACAACTGCCACTAGAATAAATCAAACATAAAAAAGATATAGCTAAATAGCTTGCTTATTGCATTCCCTAAATGAAATAAAAGTTATTTTTGTACTGATAGTTTTACTGCTAGTTACTGTGATGAATAGACTAATAGTTCTACTTAGGAAAGAAAAAAAAAAATACGGTTGTATTGTATTTTTTATTATTCTCCTCTCTCAAAAAAAAATTTTTTAAAAAAGTCAAGTATTCCCCATAATTACAGTAGAAAGCAACACTCTTTAAAGATGTTAACTCCCTATTCATAGCATGTGAAAGTTGCAGAAGCTCTCCATGCCTCAGCTACCTCGAAATACTCCTCACCCAGGTGGGGTAAACTATCACAATTTCTAGAAGCGGCAAGGCAGAACTCCTGTTCTGACCTTTAATCTCCAGGCTGACCTTTAATAAAGCTGCAATGAAAGCAGGCATTGTCACAGTCCCTCTTCCCTTCCAAGCACCCATAGCTAACACAGAAAATTCAATTCCACAGCATCCTGAATAGAATTTTTCAGAGGTTTCTCATGCCCATACCACCCCCAGCATTCCTCCTACCCTTCCACGGAGAGGCACACATTACAGTGTGTGTGAGAGAGTATTACAGTATTACGGTATGTCTCTATACTATAAACGTTTTCCCTATGTATTTTACTAACAGATAGAAACTTGATACTTACGAATATAAAGTCAGTTTCTCCAAATCATTGTGCATATTGAAGGCATACACTTCTCCCAAATGAAAAAGCTTTTCCAATGCCTCATAAATAAATATGATGCATATAAGCGCTGCAAAAGCCTCCTCAGTAAATCGAGTGATGTAACACACAAGGCTGCTGGCATCTGTGGCTACAAGCACTATGCATAAAAATGCAGTCCACAGACCAATGCTAGTTCGCAGGGAGAGGTAGGAAAGATCGTAATCCCTGTGTGAAGAAAGAAACAAAAGTATTAACTGAGCCAAAAGTCACCTATACTATATTCTATTTGAAAACAGATACTGAGGCCAAGCTCTGTAGGTATTCACCACTTTTCTCATCCTTGATTTTAGTTCTGAAGGAAGCAGAAACTTTTCTGTCTCATCTTTCACCAACGCAAAGCAACAACTGCAAGGTGTTTCTAGGACTGAGGGTGCAACTACCTAGCCTGGGAAGCATCATGGGGATGATCTTTCCAGAACTACGTAGATGCTTTCTCCTAGAGGGTAGATCAATCCCTGTTTACCCCTGCAGAACCAAAGCCAACATCTCCACACAGTCAGAACATAAGTTTTACTTTAGTCCTAGCCACTTCTTATCACTGATTTTCTCCTTAAGGCTCACGAGTGCCTCCCAGCTTTGCCAAACCACATCCATCTCTCAGTCTCTTGCTGCTGCTTTACATCTTCATGGACATCCACTTTTAACACACATCTGCTTTCAATTACAGCTATTCTAACAGGCTAGAAAGTTAGAAAGTGTATCAAGCTAATACAAACATCACTTACCTGCAAAATTTAAACAATATTTTTTCAAATACTAGAACTGGTCCGGTGCTCCCCAAAATAGTAAGAGGTTGCCCAGCAAAGAGAGAATAGGCAATCCCAGTTAATGAGGCTCCAAAGAGAGACTCTATTGCACTCTGTTTGGGGGAAAAGAAACTGCTGTAACTATGCTGCCTTTCAGGTTAGCGTTTAGCATCACATCTGCATAAATAAAGTTTTAAGATGCATTAACTTAGAAACAAGACAAGATGTAAAAACACTGCAATTAATATTGATGTTTGAGACAAGAATAACTTAACACAGTTTTGCAGTAACAATACCATGGACAAAAGATTTTGAAAACTTCACTCCTGAGAAACATAAAGCCATCTAAAACCATGAGAACAAGTTACTAGTCCTGCTAGCTATGGAGGAAAAACATGCCAACAATTACTACAAATTAAAAAAAAAAGAAAAAAAAGTTACTCAACATGTAGTTTACAGAAAGAATTATCTGTCGCTGTAAATAAAATAGATGTATGTATTGCAACATACCTGTACCAAAACATGATACGGTGTGCCGTATCAAACCTGCATCAGTCAACCAAGCATTACAAAAGAAAAAACTGACAGGCGGAGGTGCAGGGGAAATTACTGAACAATATTGTTTTATGTATACACGACACCAAAAATAGATGATCAGTAAACCAATGTCCCACCTGGTAATGCATTTCTTTTCATTGAAGTAAGATATCTACTTCAGTTCTTGAATTAAATGTTTTACTATAACATTTTCTGCTAAAAAAAAAACATTACAATGCACCTCAGAAGAGAGGGGCAGGACTTTTAAGATTCTAAAATGATATTAAAGTTACTTAAAAATAGTTAACTACGCCATTTAAAACTATGAGAAGTCATGGATTACAGATTAAAGGGTTCCTGGTGGAATTTTTAAGTGTTTGCTATTTTGCAATTATGCAAGCCTAAGAAAACAATATTTATGCAAACTTAAGCTCCAATTCAGGAAAGCATCTAAAACTGGGCAAAATGGTTTGCTGAACTGGGGCTATTAAAAAGGAAAACGTGAGTCCTTTGTTCATTACATTAGGGGGAAAAAAAAAAAATCCCAGTCTCTTGTTCTATTACCTTTGAATTAGTGCTTATGGTTAGTCAATGCATTAACCTTGGGGCTCTCAATCAGGGTGGCAGGGACAGGAGTACTGTGGAGGTGATGACCTCTGGGAATGCGAGGGAAGGTTTCAAACACAAACTGTGTACCTTACAATGTCAGCTACTGTGCTTGAACATGTGTGTGCAGCAACTAAATTTTACATTCAATGATGCACACCAAGTATCTGAAGGCAGGAACAAACCCGCAAACAATTCCAGATAGCTAAAAGAAAGAAGGTGTTTAAGAATCAAGCTTTAAAAGGAGCATATTTTCATAAGTATACATGACGTACATTCAAAAATTACATCGACATTTTGATAAACGTTCCTACATTTACAGTGGCAAAAACAGCGCACAGAAAAGATATAATTTATTTCTGTATTTGCTATCAGCTTGAAGTGTTGCATCAATAAACAAAAATCTGAGTCAACATCATTATTTGAAAGAGATAAAATAGTTAACTAAATTTTAATATAGTACAAGCTTAAAAATTTCATCTAAGTGTCAAGAAGAATTTTATAGCACCATAAGCTTTACCAGAATCTTAAAATTTATAAAGAACATGTCTGAATACATCCTTCCCTCCCCCAAAAGGACAGAGCCTTGTTTCTTCATGATAGATTTAAAAACAGAAAATACACTTCAAGCTAGTTTACTCACAAGCCAATTGACACGAACACTAAGTTATTAATATTGCTGATGTTAAGTATTCTTTCACTACTCCAAAACCCAAAGTGCAATGATATTTTGGTTAAAAAGGTGCTGGTGTTATCTACCCCCCAACATAACACTACCAAAATTTCATATGTGTATGGTTTATATTCGTTTATAACGAAGAGTATTTTCTGCTCATAAACCTTAGCCACTTTTTTATTGTTAACATACCATTAGTGAAAGCATATACATATCCTGTCCGTTACTTAAATACACAATTGACCGCTACCCATACACTGCAGGCATTATCATCCTCGTAGGCCTACTACTCAAGGCCAGTACATGTTTTTGGCTACCCACCTTGAGCTTCTAACTTTGCCTAAAGTAGGCCTAGCGGGATGGTGCACCTTTACTGCTACTCATTATTTTTAAGTAGCCAAAAAGAAGGCAATGCAAGCCCTTTCTCAATTCATGAAGCCATTCATCCAACAAGGCAGGATAAACATTTTTTACCTCCACTGTGCATCTTCTCCTGTTCACATGGGTACCCCACATTTTCCACAGCAATTACCTTTTGGGGAAGATCTGCTTTGGGGCAGGCTAATCAAGTGCTGTGGGTAAATTCTTCAAATACAAGTATAAATAAATGAGACAAATGCACACAGTGACTTGCCTCTGAAGGTCTAAAAGCCTGGCCACTACCATTCTTTGTACTCACTATTCTGCCTTGTGTAGCTTCTCCCAGGAGCCCTCCAAAAGTGATTACAGGAGACATACAGGCACAGTATAGGAAAAGAATCGAGGCCAGGCACTGCAGGCTTAATGCATCCTTGAAGTCACTCAAGAAAAAAGGTGCTTTCCTTTTGATGTCAAGTATCAAACCACCAAAAAGCCTAAATAGGTGAGATGAAACTCGTCAAACTGTACACTAAAGGATTCTAGCTAGTTCAAAACTATGGGCTACACATGACTGCCAGTGCCTATTGCCAGCACAAATTAGCGATTTCATAATCCAGATTAAAGCATAACAGTTTACAACGTAAATGAGAATCTTATCTATTCCAATTCAGTGGTATTCCAAATATAATCAAGCAGGTTATCCACATTTTTTAAAAGCTGGCTAGGTATTTTTGTATATGGGCTAGATACTGAAAAAATATCTTTGCAAATTATTTTACCTAAATAATGTTTTAAATCAAATCTGCCTTATGATATTCTAAACAAGGAATAGAAGAAAAATGCTAAACCTCAACCAAGACCACTGCTTTGGTACATTTCAGTATTACCACTCCAATAAATAGTTGTAGCTTTTTGATTCGAATCCTTTACATACATATGGTTAGGTCCATAAATAAATTTAGGTCTATCATTTTTAACAGTGTTTTCATCTGGACTACAGAGATATTCTACAAATGGAAATACAAAATCAAACATATATATATGTCAGTTCAACTGGGTAAGTTATTAGCAAGAAAACAAAAAGCTTTTGGCAGTTTCAAAAAAATTTTCAAGACTCCAAAATACTAAGTATAATTTGCACCTACAAAAAAATTGATTTTATTTTGAATTATTTTAAAAAAAAAAAAACTCCATTCCCAAGAAAAACAATAGTTTCATCTAGAGATAATTCTGTGGGCAGAAATGAACCTCCCAGCTCCACATATTGTCTGCAAAAAGTCAAAAAGTAAGCATAACAAAGCCAAAATCGTAAAAATCAAAACAAATATTGTAAAGTCCTTCTTGCAAAGGTATGAGGAAAGATGCATTTCATTTGGAAATTTATAATTTTGGGAATAACAACACTGTACATCTTGTCCAGAATTTCTCAGTTGATTTAATCCCTAAGCTCTCATATAAGATATTAAGGTTTAATCTTAACCAGATATTTCCAATGTTGGGGGCTTTTTTGGCAAGTATTTCAGAATTAACAGAGAACTACAATGCAACTCAACTGAAAGAAATTCCTTCAATTTTATTTTATATCTAAAAGAAACCTAATCAAAACCAATGTATTTTTTGCTACTTTGTATTCCTTGTTACTCCATTTCATACACGCTTAATAAAATATATTTGCATTAACGGAAATTTTTAGTACCTAGCCCAATACTGAAAATTGTATATTCCTGCTATAATTATGATAATTGCATGCTCTTGACAATTGAAAATTAAAACCCAACTCTTGAAAGTCGGTTAGTTAAATTAGGCAGCATCTTATATGAAATCCTTCGTAAATGTGTTGAGAAACATTGCCACAGGCTTGAAAATGCTTTAAGCAGATTGGCATTTATAGGCAAGAATCCAACACTTGAAAAGGAAAAAGGATGCGCTCTGATATACCATGATTTTTAATGTTCAAATGTCATCATTAAAAACTGTGAGGATTTATCACTTTTATTTCTTTATGGTAGCTAGTATTTCGGGAAGTGAACACACCTTCCAGTTCTCTCAAGTTCACGTCCAGCATGGAGGCCGCCTTCTTTGAGAGTCTCTCCTGTAGGAGTAGATCCATTTGGAAATTTAGGTGCCTTCCTTTTCTCCTACAGAAAAAGAAGGGGGGGGGGGGGAATCATACTTTGAGACTATCTTTACACTAAAAAGTATAATTCAAAGACAGCGTGCGGAGACTCTATGCCTTCCAAACCTTTTTCATATTCCCAGCTTATCAGCAGTCCTCCATTTGACAAATTCATCATTTGTTGAGTACAGACGACTAGAACTGTACAACAATCCCAAAAAGATCTTATTAGTACCTTGCACAACAGTATTAATCTTCCCTCTTTCTGCAAGAAACATGTCCCTGAGACACGATGAAACAAAGCCTACCTTTTCAAGACACAGTGGAGGCTCAGCCATGAGGCCTAGAAATCTTTAGATTTTTCTTCTCAATCATTTCCAGAGCAGAAGCCTCTAGCTTCTAGCAGAAATTGACCTCACTTTACGACACACACAGTATTTAGTTGAAGTATAAATGAGAAGTCATTCCAGTATAAATGAGAAGTCATTCCCCGATTGAGCAAGTTGCTTACCAGCTTCTCATAAATTTCTCAGCAGAGCTTGCCTTCCAAAAACCCCCGAGCCCTGCTTATTTTGGAAACAAGTTAAGTAGTAGCCTCAGGCTATTCATGAGCAAACTGCACTGCTTTCACCCCTTCCGTTCCACCCACTCCTCCAGACCACCACTGGATTCAACACCACCATCAACCTTCTCAACCAAGAGCACTGGTCCCTCCCCCCACTTTTGATCCTGGTGGCAGGAATTCCCCTCAGTTGTAAAGAGGGAGAAAGGGAAGAAATCAAGAGTCCCTCTAAGGTCCAGCTCCTCCCTGGCTCTCATTCTAAGCTTGTATCACAACTGAGCAATATGATCCATTTTTATCTATTTCATAAACATTCTGTGAACATTATATGCTGGCCAATATACATTAAAACATTTCAATGTTGCATGCAAATAAAAGTTTTTATAAGAATTACAATATTCTTGCTGATCATTGTTAGATTAATAATAAAATTTACAGTGTGAACTCAGGTACAATTTTGGACCAATTCTCCTAGATCTCACACGAACTCATTTCAGTATTACAAAAGGATATATAGTAAATACAATTTACTTAAAAGCATAGCAGGAAACTGATCCAACACCTTTTTTTTTTTTTTTTTTTTTTACTTTAATAGACAATCCACTTTTTCTTCCAAATGGATGGGGGGGCTTTCCTGATGCTTTACTAAAGTTTATACTCAGTACACAATCTACTTGCATTGGGAAATGGCATTTTCAAAGTAAAAATCATGGGAGCTCCCTACTGTACTTTTTTTTCCCCCCCTTTTTTTTTTCCTTTTTCCCCCTCCTGCTTCTTCTTCTTCTTTTTTACCTGGGAAGGAACACTTTTTGGTGGCTCAATTCGTATAGATGGATCCCATTCTCCTGGAGGCAGGACTGTCACTTGGTCTAAAAATTCATCAATTCCTGACAATAAATCATTTCGGTCTTTTGCTTTATAGGCAACATCATGGAAAACCTACAAGAAGAAAGTACCCAATATTTTTTTGTTGTTTTTTTTAAAAGAGGAACTGATTACAAGGAACATTTCATTATTTTTAAAAAGGCATGGGAAATTTTTTAAAGGTCTGCAAAAGTTACGCTTTTACTTTACTTGCATACTTTTGCATTAAGAACTACCTGTATGCACACCTCTATGGAACATAAAATAAGGAAGTTATATGTCCAAACTCAAAAGCAATATTGAGTTCATTTCTAAAATCAATTAAAAAGTTATCTTCAATATTCAGTAAATCAATTTCATGTACTATTGCTTGAATAATTCTGCTCTATAGCCACTGTGCCACTACGCTGTGCTAAATCAGGACAAAAATACTTTAAATAACCTTCAAACCAAAACACAAGTTTTTATTAAGAATAAAGAACTTCATTTGTATACCTCTAGCTTAATTAATATTAAAAGACTTCTTAAAAAGCACATGAAAGCAATCCTCCTACTACTCAAAAAAAACCCCCACCCTACACTGTTTTCCAGACTACTACAACACAGACTCTGAATTGACAAATGGGTAGTATTTAAACAAAACAATCCCTGAATCCCAAGTTGCATTTTATACAGAGAGAAAAAAAATGCTAGTTTTACTATTAAAAAAAACTGTTTGCAGAAGACAATCCAAAATTGCTTCTGTATATTTGAAACCTGAACTGTTTATCTCCAAAGACCTGACCATTATTCTTCTAATTGGAAATTAGACCTTTTAAGCCTATTTAGGTCTTTTTAGACCACTGAATAATTTGAATTTTTCTATTTCAATGATCTACAGTATTCCTAAAAATCAGCCTACCTAAAAAATTAGAAGCTTCAACTAAAGCTTTTAATATACAGTTCTCGCACTGAACAAATAGTATATTCACAGACTAGTTGCTCAATTGTAAAATGACCAATTTCTGGTTTACATTTCTGAACTTTAAATTGTTCTAGAGTAAAGAAATAGTAGAACTTCTGCTAAATAACCATAATAATTACCAGCAATTCAGTAGGTGGCGCTCAATGTGAAGTCAGAATTCAAACATCCTGATTTTGCTCAGTAAGATGACAATAGTCTTAAAAAGTCCAGATTCCCCTGTGCTCTGTAAAACCATCCACCAGGGCTCTAAGCATATGACTTCAAATGCCTAGTAAAATTCTAATTTTAATTATTTGACCTCGCTTTGATTAAAAAAAAAAAAAAATCTGACGACTCAATCGCATGCATTCTTAAACTTTGTCCTGAACACTTACGCAGTTTGCTGTGTCCTTTTCGACATACAGTGATTCATATCAGACCCAGTTCTATTTAATAGTTCTATTTCCTAATTTAATACAAAAACGAAATCTATACACCAAAGCTAAAATATTTTTTCAGAAATATATTTAGGATTTCTTCAAGAAAGACAAGGCGTAAAGTTAATTTACCATTTTCTAGTTCACTAACACAAGAAATAAGTAAGTTTACAGTTCTTCATTTAAGCAGTTTGGGTTTTTTTCTTTAACCTGTCACTCCAGAATACATTTATTGAAAACAGTTGGTAAATACATTATTCTAGACTTCTTTAACTACAAGTGTTTAAATTACATCACTCACATCATCTGTCATAAGAGTTGCTATCGATCTTCCAATTTCATGGTACTGTGGAGCTTTTCCTGCTGGTCCCAGCAACAAAAATAAAAACCTGTGGAGAAAGCAATTGAGATGAATACGGCTGACTCATTTGAATATACTCAGAGGGTTCTTTCAAACTAATGTTTAAAGAAAATGTAGTAGTGAAGTAAAAAAAAAAAAAAATCTTCTTCACCATTTCAGATCTTAAAGACTGCTGCAAGATTAAGAAAAGACTCTCCTTAAAGTCATTACTGGAAGGAACTTGAATCCTGAACCAAAATTACTCTGAAATCTTCTTAATTAAGCCTAATTTTTCAACTTCTTATAATGCCGTAAATGTAGTAGATTTAAGATCTTAAATATTATTATCTTATTGTATAAGTAAAGCCAGATTTTTCAGGCATTTATTTACCGTGTAGGAACCGGAACCTCTGTGAGACCTGAGAGAAGTACAGCAGGGGAGAGCCTCACAAAAGCAATAATAGGTCTTTCTAAAAAATCTACTTCTCCCACTAACACATTTGATGCTTCTGCTCCTGAAGGAATTTTCCTCATGAAGTTCATATCAACCTATACATACAAAGATGAAACAAGTGTTTATTCTCTTACAGAAATAGCAGAAATACTATAACGTAATTGTAAGTTTATCAGTATTTACTAGACATTTATACTACAAAGAAAAATAAAAAAGCAAATTAAATATCCCACAATACAGAAAAGACAAACATATGTAGAAAATGTCAGCCAGCCAACTAATAATAAGCTGTTTTCTAAAAGTTAGAATTACTACCACCTACTATATTCTAGAAGACTCCAAATTGCATAACCACCTTTCTAATATCATTTATCATGACAAACATTCCATTTGTCATAGGACATAACTTAACAAAAATCTATGCACAATTAACTAAGGAGAGTTCATGTAATTACACATGGTTTCTAGAATGCAATTAGTTATTTCACAGCTGTGTATTTCAAATATGTCATAATTTTGAAAAATAATTTGTATGTTTATGTTTTCATCCATAAAGAATATGATGGCTGAAAATCTTAACATTCATTTCTGTACATAATTACAGAAGAACATTAGAAAATGGTACAGCACATGAACTCTGTGTTCACATACACACACACACACAAGCACCAGTTACATTGCTATCTAGAGAACTTACAGATGGCCTCTTGAGTCCCACACCAAGTGTGCCACAACTACAGTGCCAGGAGGCTGACTCCTGCCCAACAGGAGACAAGGCAGGTGTACAGAAGGACAGGCCAAGCAAAAACATAAAAACTGTGACAGAGGAGCAGGAATATATGGCACCTGCCATGATTAGATGAGAACTACAGTGTAAGTTAGCTTTCCTTAAACATAATTCTTTAACTTGGCAAAACCATTTTCTTACAGTGTTTCACAGTACAGATGACACTATAGACCGAATTTTATAGTAAAAGCCATAGTGGAACTTGCCCAGCAAATTTAAATTATGAAAGAAATACAAGGGATTTACAGTATTACACAAGATTTCCTTCAGAAAGTGATATTATATACTCCTAATGATTAAGATGTACAGTAACTTTTGTACAGTAAACTCATAAAACATAACGCAAATCCCCTTTAAAAGCCCTCTTTACAAAAAAAAAAAAAAACCACCTCCACCAAAAAATCAGTCCTAGAAAAAAAAACATTACAACACCATCTACAAAATTGTTTTCGTAAGTGTTTATAGCAGATCTGAAAATATCTCCCTCTGCATGAGAAAGTACAGCTGCTGCACTCTTGCAGTTACCAAAATACTGAAAAGATCATCAAACGAAAAAAAGTTCAGTCCCACTGGGAAGAGTTTCAAAACATTTGACACATTTAGCCTATGCCATATTCTGGCACTTGTATATACAAGTTATGTCTTAGTACGTGTCTTGTGTGTACACTCGTACACATGCATACGTATATGTGTCTTAGCTGTAACTAAGAGGGAAGTCACAATCACCGCATTTTTTGTAACATAGTTATTTTGTGCTAAACATTAAGGTTTTTAATGTTATTTACCTTACTAAAATCAACCGTGCTGTTTTCTCTGCTTCCTCCTGTCCCAGTACCTTTAACGTCTCCACTTTTTCCGGTGTCTAAATTTCCAGGTGCTGACTGTGGAGATGCTAATAGCCCTAAATTAAAACAAAGGAGGTAAGTTCAAAATGGTGTATGAAGTGAATTGAGTATGCGACACTACCAAAACTCAATGTGGCAGCTTGCTTAAAGCAAATGTGCAAGTTATTCAGTAAGAGTGCCCTACATTAGTATAATAAATGCAACGAGTCACAGTGTTGTCAAAATAATGACATAATTAAAAAAATTAAAATTAAATATTGCCCAAATGATGGCCATTTGCAGAACAGTCACCAGAAAACAAGAGCTACTTTAACTGCAGAAAAAATAACAACTGTTGACATTTTAATCGTAACTGCTCTAGTAATTAGTAGATAGCATCTTCACTATATCTAGAAGTCTTCAAACACCAAAAGCAAACACCTCTGCTATCTAGTCTGCTATGTAGCAGTTATTTTAATTGTAAAAAGCCTCAGCAAGCCTCAGGCTACAACTACAAGGAATGATAACCTGGTAGTTAACTAATCTGTACAAGCAAATAGTGTACTACATGAAGGATAGACAGCTTGCAAACCATGATTTCAATCAACAGACCAAAGCTCCAACTATCGATCTGACCAGATGTAACTATATGAAATGGTCTCCCTAACACATTAGCTAAAGAGGCTCGTACAATGAAGTTATTCGAGTTAAACGTACAGCTTCCCTCTGACATCTGCACCAAGACAAAACCGTTTTACGTAGCTTGCTGTGCTACTAGCAACATTGAATCACAGGTTCAGTGAAGGGTGCAAAAGGCAAGTAACCCAGGTGTTCATACACACTGAACTCCATGTTGCGCCATGGTTATCCCTATCCAACTATCATTTAAAAGCTGGTCTCGGCATGCATAACCAAGCCCAAATCCCATCTTTTGAATTACACAGCTTTTACTTGTTCAGTTTAACATGCACTAGAAGTGCATTTGGCCTTGCTTGTCTACACTAGACCTTTCAGATGTGGTGATAAAACATGCTTTAACGTGCTTTCAAAACCACATCTAGACAAACACTGAAGTCTAAGCTTTGTATTACATGCAGAAAGTTTGTATTTAGGTCAAGCATCATTCTAGTCAAGATAAAAACTGAAGTCCTCACTGGCTACCTTTTGGCTATTGTTCTATCGTAACTACTGCTGCATAACTACTTGCATCCTTCCATATTTATAATTTAGCAATTTGACATTTTTTACCATTTCAAATGACAACTGAATTCAGTTTATTTGATCCCCAAATTTATTTTTCTCTTTCAAAGAGCCATCATATCAATGGAAAACATGCAGGTCCAAGCCTTTACCATTAATTTCATTCTTACAGTTCATAGGGATATAAGTGGTGTGGGTAGTTTTTCCTAAAGCAAAAACCAAATGAATTTAATAAGCTGTAATTTCCTTTGTGAATTCTAACATGTACAAATAATTAGCTAACACTATCAATACTACGTTCACTTAGCTAGACGCGCCCCCCCAAAAAAAAAAACAACACACCACACATTCTACCTTTCTGCTCCTAGATGTATGCGTTATTCACAAGAATAACTAACAGCAATCAACCACCTCTGAAATCAGCTGTTCAAAGTATTTAACTGCATAAGAGTTGATGTTAAGATGTGTTTGTATGACTAGAAATAGAACAGAAATTTTAAACAGTTGTTGCAGAGGAAAAGCATAATATAAAAGTTTATACATATAAAATTTTTTCACTTCCCTCCCCCGCCCCGTAACAATAAAAGTAACTGAAGATGCATATGACTGATGAAAGATGAGCAATAATGCATCATTTTGCACTTTCCGCAAACGTCCTGTGATCAACAGCAAGCAGAGACTACAACAAAAAGTGGAGAGACAATCAAGGAGAAGAATAGAGAATAAGGATTCTACATATTAGCATAAACTATTATTTCAGTACTAAAGTGATCCTGATTCTTCTAAAAGGTTTGCCTTCAAAATTTCTCCACAGTTAAGGTTCACAAGTTTTGGCACCAATACTTTGGCACCGATACAGGAACATTTGTCTGATCCTAAACCATAGTAATAGTTTTCCTTTATGTTGGTCTTGCAGTTGGACAGACTGCTGCACGCACGTGAGAATAGTGCTTACAGGTTTTCAGACCTGAGCAAGCATTTCCATATGATACTGCATTTCATTATGCATATCAATCAGTCTGATATTTGCAGGGAAACTCAGAATAAAAAATTATCATCTCTAATAGCAAAACACTTTTACTCAAATCTCACACTAATAAAAGAACTTATTTCCTTCCCTTCTCCAGTTCAGTAGGTACAAACTCAGAGGCTACTGCTAAAAGGAAGACTACCTAGCAGTTTTTCCAGATTGTGAGACAGTGAAATTCATCTAGTCTTACCAAGCTACCGAGGGGATAATTAAAAATACACAGTATTCTTCCTGATGTTGTTACTTAGGCAGATATACCACCTGCCTCCTCCGAAAGACAACAGTGGATTGAGTCTTGAGGAAGACTGGATTAAAACCTTATAACATCACTCAAGTTAAAGTACTTATAACTACACCTTCACTAAAGATCATGTGCATTTTCTAGCCAACTACGCTTAGTTTAATACTGTGATCACAAAAATCTAATGGTCATTATCTACTGGAAAAAGAAAGCAGAAAGAATACAGACATCTGCCTCACATCTCTGCTTCAGTTAAAAAAAAATGTTGGGGAAATAAGATGAGTTCAACACCTAAGCACAACTATTGCAATATAATCATGTTTATATAGGCAAAATTTATGAAATATGAAACTTCTAAATACAAAGTCACACTGTATTTGTATTTGAGGAAATAAAAAACAGTTTTTAAAAATAAATTCCAATGCAGCCTTAATGTGGGGAAAAAAAAATTAAAATTACTCCTAGAAGGCAAATATGTAAACCTTTCTGAATTACACTACGTAATTATTGTAAGAGCAAAGCTGTTCTAAATATTATTTCATTCAGTTTTAAAGTATATTTATCAGTGAACCAAAAGAACCCTTAAAACAGGCTGCTCTGCTGTTGTTCACAGACATTAAGAAAGCTTAATGATGCTGGCGAATTAACAATGTTCATCTTTAGCTGTGACACAGCTCTCTTCCTAGCTCTACCTATGGAATTCATTATTCAACAGTTTCAAAAATGGGAAAACAAAAGCTGTTCTTCAACTGATGACAAAAGAAAAAAAATTGTTAAAGAGCAGCCTTTGCCTGGTTGACTTACTACGAACTGATGACTGGCTGATAAAAAGTAAGTGGTAGACTGAAAGTGTGTCCCTCTTCCCTACTTTTACAGTAATTCACGTTAAGTTCAGTAACCTTCCAGCTATTTATAAAGACTAAAAAACAAAGTCTGAAGAGCACAAGGCCAAGGATAGATGAATGCTAAACAGAAGAAAGCCACCTATCAGAAAATCAACACAGTTCCTAATGCTCACAGGAGGCAAACCCAACTCAGTCATACAGATGTGGAAAAAGTATTCAGGATGCAATATTCTGAATTACTAGAGAGGTAATCTACACAGATTATTATAGACTATAATCTCTATAGATTACTATAGGCCATAATCTATAGTGGAATGGACCAAGAAGATTTTTTTTGTTTGTTTTAATTAATACAAGGAAGATGACTTCCTCTTCAGGGTTCCCTTCTGAATCTCCCAAGGCAGATTAGTCCAGTTGCAGCCCTGAAGTCATAGTCTCAGAATGTCTTCAAAGGTACCTCTAAGGAAAATGTGTCTTTCTGTGGTCAGATGATTTCTTGAATAAAAAAGGGGGGGAAAAAACCCAGAAAATAAAAATGTCTTCGATCATTATTGGTGTTAATCCATAAATAAAAGTCTTTCCAGAGAAAGATGATCTGGGAAATCATCCCTTTCGGATTTTTCCTTTATGAGAAACATCCCCTTGAGGCACAAAAGCAATTTGAACATGACTTGGAGATTCTGGTGGAAAGCTTTACTAGTGATAATAATAGCATCAAGTACTTTATCTTCGTTTGCCTTCTCTTGGGTTCTAAAAACCTTGGGTCTGGCATGCTGTTATTCCTGACAGATGAGTAGAAAAATGAGAACTGGAAAACCAATTACAGCTGTTATTTTACTTCTGGTTTTTAATTACCTTAGAAAGATCACCCATGAGACAGAATGATCTTCATGAGAATTTTCTCAATTTCCCATAAGGAAGTTAGAAAAAGAGTTTTTTGTTTGCTTTTCTGAATTTAAGTAAAGATGGGGCCCCTACTCCAACTCAAGATGACAGCCTACAACATAGTTTGCTCTTTCCTTTTCAGTGACTTGGCTGCAAAATGTGAAAAGGCAGATAACCACAGCCTCTCCTCTGTCAGCATATTTTCACTGCTATATGTAACAGTGTGCTTACTTATTAAACAAGTGAGGAAGGAATCCCAAGAAAAGCCTCACTGATGAAAGAATTGAGTGAAATCAGCTTCCCCTCCCCAAATAGGCATAAAGCAGACAAACGTACAAGCTAGACTTTGGCAAGATAAATTCTGGGAAGGAAGGAAAAAAAAAAAGGAGGAACCTGAAGTCTAAAAAGAAACGTGGTCCCCTTAAAAACATGATCTATCTAGAAGAATCCTAAAGTCTCTAAATAGGTGATAATTTTAAAGTGAAGCAAGTACACCAGTATTTATTCAGACTGCATGAGTTATGAAACATTTACTAAGAATGATTAAAGAAACCATCAGAACTTTCCATCTTTTCTTTCAACTCATCTATGCACCTACATAACTTTTTGCATGTAAAGAACAGATTTGCAAGACAACAAATTAATAAATTGCTGAGCTCTGACCTACAATTATAAACTCTTAACTACCTTATCCTATTTTGCATATCAAACACAACAAAACAGTAATCAAGTGTCTGATGCTGAAGCAGTGCACTAACGGGTAGCTACCTGGAAACAGTTGTGGCTGAACTGAACCTGCCAGTTCCATCATAAACTACTACTGGTTTTAATGGCCCTGGTTTTTAAAAGCACAAAGGCAAAAGTAAAAATGCTTAAAGACTACAACTAAATTACAAACACTACCCGATTATTGCATCCTTCCTAATTCTTTTCATACTCATCTCTAATACTTCACTAGGTCTTTGGCTGTAGCTATCTCAGGATATCAAACACTGTTTAAAATACTTCTTCAACCACTGACAAAAACAACAAAGCAAAACCTGACATGGACTGTAGGTGAGTGAAAGGAAAAGGCCACCATTTTTGACATTTTGCTTATATATTATATTTTAAAACCATATTCTTTTTTAATTACACAAATGAAGGTTAATTAAAGAAAATTTTTGCTGGCTTTAGTTAAAAGCTAAGAAGTTAAAAATGCCGAACAAGAAAACAATCACAATTGAGAAGAAATAAAACATGCAGGCAGAGGTAACAGTTATCATATTCCTTTGTGCCCAATTTATGTGCTAAAAACACCACAATGCAAGTGATCCAGATGCAGAAAGCATCACACATGGACAGCTTAATTTTTGATAGTTGCCTGGTGTTTTGTCAATATTTTCCTCTGTCTTCTTTTCCTGCACTTCCAAGTCCTCCTCAGGTGGGTGGATTATTACTGAAGGAATATCATCACTGGCAGGTGACACCAGCAATTCCTTGCCCTGAAGTGGACTTGGCTGGGCACTTGTGGTTGGCGGGTGGCCGCAGGTAGGACTGGAGGGTGGTGTGTTTTGGGGGGTAGTTACAGGGGTTGTACACCTTGAGGTTGCCGGGGTTCCAGCTCTTGAAGAAGGAAGAAGGTAATTGAGAAGAGCTGACAAACGGTTTTCTCCTCTCAGGGAAATATTTGAGGCAGAGAGACCTGTTCGCAAAGAGTGGCGGGAGGCTGAAAGGCCTTCCCCTGAGATAAAACAAATGAAACACCATGAGGCTTACAACAGGGATATACTAAAAAAAACACAGACACAAATATGCATTAACAATTTACATAGTAAATTGCAAGCTTTACGGGCCAAAAGTGTCATACTCATGCAAGTAAGACAAGAGATAAGAGCAAATCTGATTTCAGACATTAGAAAAGTCAGAAATTACTGATGAGTACTAATTAGAACGCCAAAGATATGTGGGAGAAGTTATTATCTTAACATCAGTAAGATTTGTTAATATAACAAAAAAAAAAACAAAACCCACAACAACAAAAAATCGTATCTCTTGAAACTGACTCTTAAATTTTCCTAGAAGAATTTATTCCAAATTGCACCGCAGCTACCTTTAATACCATCCAAAAAATACATTAAAAAAATCATTAGCAGCCAAAACATTGCAGCCAAAACTTCCCAGTTAACTGCATCCGTTATATACATTGTTAATTTTTAATTTTAAAATATTTCAAAATGAACATGATCAAACATATCTAATCATGTTAAATGCAACTGTCTTCCAATAGAAGTCTTGTTTTAATAAGAAGTTTCCTAGCCAGCTCTAGTCTCAATACATAGTTTCGAAGAGGGCACAAGGATGAGATACATAGTCCCTTCTCCATTTCTTCTTGCTGTGACTTAGCACTATTTGCCTAAAACCAAAGACGTTTCTCCAAAATCCACTGTTACTCTCCTTGCCCTATCCAGTTTCAATGTCCCGCTAATTTCATGTAAGAACAACATAGTCTGGTCATGGTGCCCTCAGATTTAAGTTTGTAATGGATTTCAGTTTTTCCTTAAGCAGGAAGAGAGACTGTCTATCCTCCTATCAGTACTTCCGTTAGAAGGTTTAGCGATGCCATTCCTCCCATTTACCACAAACACTTTTCCTGGGATGGCAGTCTCCTTGAGAAGACTACTGCTTGCTTCTTCAACCCCTGAAATCAAAAACGTGCTGCTTTCACATACCATGCCATCAAGCAAGGAAACAGCAAACTAGACACATTTAGTCTCACATTTATACTAGGCACTACACAGACCAATATGTTGAACAACCCTAGAATAATTTACAAGAAGGAGGTGCAAAAAGTATGCCTAAGTAAATGTCATAGATTTTTCCCCCGCCCCTAACAATGGAAGAGTGGATCCTACAGATACAAACTTGATTTAAATTAAGAATGAAAGCCTCAAAGATCAACTATTAGAACTGCAGTGCAGTAAAGACAAGAGGACCAATAAAGCAAACTGGTTGATTTTGTCTATATTAATCACTACAGTAATAACTAGGCTTCCGTCAGTATATCTGTGATGAATCATGAACATGAGATGTCCTAGCACACACAGGTGTAAAAAGGAGCTTAAAAAGTATTATGCACATATGCATGTTTGGTTTACCGGTTTATTAGAGGGTAACCATAGGATTATAAAGAAAAAGTAAATCAGTATATGCTGGCAAAGAGTTCATCATGTTATATTGGTTTCTTATTTCAGCATATATCCTATATTCTGTTGTAGGAATAGTATTAAGAATAAAATGCACTGGGAAGTGGAAGTGATATATGAAAAGTAACTAACAAGCAAGAGACCTCAAATACAAAATTCTCAGAATTACAGTTGGGGATACAGGTGTTCAAGAATGGACAAAACCAAGTCTATATGTGAAATTTTCACGTTTGCTAAACAAAACAGTAAAGTCAGAAGTTATAGGATTAATTATGCTCTTATATAACTTACTTGTATTTTCATTCTAGAAAAAATAATTCTGAAACTATCAAGGAAATATTTAAGCATGCATTATATATTCACTAGCTAACAAAAAGTATCAGCAACCTTGGACATTTGCTGGAGCATACTCCAAGTATGTATCGAACTGAGAGCTCCCAACAAGCACTTAACTAAGCGGAACATGTTTTAAGAAAGATGCAATGAAGCATCTTTCAAGACAGGAATGGAACTTCACTTCAAGGAGTGATTCATGAAAGGAGTACTAAGTTTTCACTAAACTAAAAAGTTTCAGTTGAAATTATATGTGTTTTAGTTAATGCAAGGCAAAAGAAAACATAAATAACAGAGACGGAAATAGAGGCCACAAGAAATACAAGAATAAAATTATGCTGCTTGCAGTATATATTGCTATTTGGACTTTGGAATTGGATGTCTACAGTAAATGTATTGATATTTCGGAATATTTTCACGAATTGGTTCAATAAAAGATGTAGTACAGCCTATAAAAATATTGCGAGTACCCTTCTTGGGTTTGGGGTTCCCTCCCCCCCCGCCCCATTAGATCCTTCTCTACAAAACAAGTAAAAATAAAGTAAGGTAAAAATAAAGTGTCCTAGCTAAAAGTAATTTCTTCACCGTTAGTATAGTGAACTTTTTCTAGTCATATTAACATAACATAAAACAAGTAATCGTCAGCATCACTGAACTCATGACATGACCACAAAGTAAATCTCTAGTATAAAGACAGCATAAGCAAGTAGGATCCATCTGACAAACATATAAAGCTATGCCACGATGCTGAAATTCCTCAAATATTACACATTTTATTCAAGCATATCCTAAAAAACATTAGGACCAATGTAGGTCTATTTCTATACTTCAAAACAATAATGCATGCTACGTATACAGGCAGGAGTAGAATGTTTGAGTAAATTCAAAAATATACAGACACATCATCCACAGCTACACATAGCAGACACTGTTATCATTAGTTCTTTGCTTATCAAGAAGGAAACACTTATCTGCTATTATCAGCTGATTTTTCCTTCATCTCCCAGTGAGAACATTATTAAACAGGTTAGAACAAACCAGATGCTACAACTTATCTCACCATTTCGTTCAAGCAAGTGAGGGTCAGAATGTTTCTTGCCTATATCTGCAAAAGACCGAACCAGGGGAATCCGATTGCTGAATTTTTTCTCATTCTGATGATGGTGCCTTTTTAGAAGAGCCTCTCTCACATTCTCTCTTATGGATTCATCGAGCTGGCCAGAGGCAATCATGTTGTCCAAAACCATATCTACATAGTAACAACAACAAAAAAGAAAATTATATATATAGCTATTAAATCTCTCCTTCACCACACTCAAACACCAAATAATAAGAAAAAAATTACATCTATTTAAAAAAGTCTTTTCTTTAGCAAAGTCATCTCCAAGAATACACAGGAAATTTTCAAAGATGTCACTAAACAAGCAAATGTGAGAATAAGGAAAGCATAAGATGCGGATCCAAAAGACAGTATTTATTAGAAGCATCATTTTAAGAAATAAGTTAATTAATATTTTATAATTTATTGTCATTTACTTCAACTTTCAACGGCTACTCCCTTTCAAAAAAAAGCATCTATATATTCAACAACCTTCCACTAGAAGTGAACACACAAAGACAAACACAATGGAGAACAGCCTTCTTAAGTCTTAACCTGGTGTTCCCTATTTCGAAAGTATACAACTATACAAAAGTGAAAGTTATTACAGAATGAGATGAATTCCCCAACTCTTCTGCCACCTTCAGATGCCCTAAGTTCCTGAGGCTCTCTACCGAACTTCATGTGATTCACATGCTTTAGAAGACGAAGTGTAAGAAAAGAAAAAAAAGCTAGTTACATCATCTAAAACTAACTAATCAGCTGTCAAACAACATGAAGTTTCGAAAGGGCATCTCATCAGTATGCTCACACCAGGAAAGAAAGGCTGCATGTCTGGGAAAATATCTGCTGGCAATTTCTTAGCTGTCTTTTTTTTTTTTTAATTAGTAAAATAAACAAAAAACCCGAACAAACAAAAAACCAACCAACCAACAACAAAACCCACAACAAGAACAACAAAAAACAAAAAAAACCCACCACCCCACCCTGCACAAATCAAGACGAACCTATGTGACAACTTTTAAAATATATTTTGCCAGTCTTAGCTGGTGTATCAAGAACTTAACTGTATTGGTAAACTGCAATTACATAGAACTTTTCACAATGAAAGAGATTATGGCTCAGAATACCCTACAATCAAAAAATTATATGCAGCAAAGTCTCTGTCAGTACAGCGCAGCTTCCTTCTGGGATTACTGGCAACACACAACTTTTTGTTATAGCTTCTCAAAAGGAAACCGGCCATCCTGTCTCTCCTGTGTTGAGTGAAAACCAAGAATACCTACTAGGTATTCCTGGCTCAGGGAAACAAGACAATACATTTGTATGCCAAGGATTGTTATCCTACATGCTTCATAATGGCACCTAAAATTAACTTGAAACAAATTCAGCCTCTTAAGACATCCTAGTTGCAACTAAAATACCTGCTATTAAAAAAGTGCTGTTTACACAGAATTAAACAATAACTGTTTTTCTTACGTACTAAGATTATTGCTAAATTCAATTATTAAAAATAAATTAAAAACCAAAACATTACTTTTACAAACCATGTATTAAACACTCTTACTCAGCAAGTCAGGAAAATAGGAAGGGAATACCAATTTCCTGAGTTAATTTCGAAGATTTCAAAACAAAACAAGAAAATGTTTCAAGCACTGCCAAAGTTTTTAATGCCAAAACACCTTGTCCTTCACATACATGTTGGTCAGCCCTAAGCCTAACATTCCTGAGAAGGCATTCCACTGTGTGGTACCTGTAGCAAGAGATACCAGGAAAATTATGTAAAACTAGTTCAAAGGCATTCAGGCTAAGCAGGTATATACACATATATGAAAAAGTCTTCAAAGATGATTTTATAGTATCCAAAATGACCATGTGATTAGTGAGGACACTCAACACAGTAGGTCAAGCAACATGTACAAAACTTATTTCTGCTCACCTCTTATAAAGGTGAAAAAAATACCAGATGTGCAACAATCAACTGTACTAATGGCATCAAATTAACATCAGCCAAGTTATGATTAATAATTATGGTACTAAAGTGCACAAATAAGTCCTAAAATGTTCTGGCAGATATTTATATTTCATCTGTAGAAACAAAGACAAAGAACACATTCAGGAATTAGAACATAAAGGCAAATTCTGGGCCTCATCCTAAAACATGTAATAAAGGAGGTCCTACTCATCCAGTGTAGCTCCTTGTAAGTGAAGTTTGTAGGATCAGCTCTTTACAACCAGATGAAGAAAACTGCAGTAAGCATGCACGCACCTATTTCTTCAATATAGTATTTTCAAGAACATAAAAAGACACCACCAAAAACATCTCAAGTTATAGATTAAAAATTAGGACTAAAATATTTTTAAAAAAAAGTTTTGCTGCAACCTGCTATCTCATCTAGTGTGTTTGCTCTCATGTCCAACATGACCGTCCCATTAAGAATACAGCTTCGCAGTTCAAAGAGACTGTGCAGAGACAGCGTTGCTACATAAGGCTTGCTCCATCGATCACCACCATCTTCAACATCCTCTTCAAATTTTATCCACCTGAAATGCATACACATATTTATATTTCTCCTGGAAGACAGACAATTTGGCAAGCAATCCCATCCTTACCTGTGGCTTCTGTATGACACGGAACAGGAAATCTGATCAGCTTATACCAGCTTTCATTTTCTTAGACAACTCAACTGATTAACAGTCACAACATTTTTATCAGGTCTTTTAACCACATGCAACTGTTGTAGTTTTCGCACATTTTGTTTCTTTTCGTTTGAACAATACCTGTCTCTTCACGAGTTCTTGTGAACGGTGTGGGACTGTGCCTTGTTACTTGATTTGCATATCTCAGTTTCATCAGTATTTTAGGATTAGAAAGCTGTCTGAAACATACCGTATACAATGTTCAAGTCTCCTAAGGTGCTAAGTCAGACATTTAAGAGCTAGGTAATACTAATATGTGTAACTGTAAATTGATCTTGATTCTGACTCACAGGCATTACGTAAATTGAACTTCTGCAAAAGCTAGCATGCAGTAAGGCAATTAGAAGTACTGAATGCAGAAGAATTTATTACAATGCATATGCAGGAAGAAGCAACTAAACCAATATGGGCCAAAAATAATCGTGACATCCTGTAATGTTCATGCATACAATTTGCAAAAAATTAATCAAATACTACTTAAGAAGAACATATGTAAATACCCAATTTTCTTTATGCTTGAATGAAAAAAAATTGACACTGATGTATAAGCAATAATAGAGCAAAGAGATTTCTGAGATTGTAAATACCGTGCTCCATAGCTGAACACCTGTATTTATAACTAAACACAGTTGTACCTTTCACAATGCTTGGCATGATACGTTTTAGGAAAGTCAACACAGCACCAGTAACACTGAGGGTCTCTTGAGAAATCATGTTGATTCTTCCAGAGTTGGACAAAAACAACAGAAGTTTTAATTTGCTGAGTGTGAATTGAGTGAACAACTCCCATAGTTCATGAAAATTCTAACCTAGACCCGGTTTGCAGTTCTTTGAAATAAAATCACTAGCAGATATACCTTGAAACAATCTACTTTTAGCATACCTAGCCGTTTCTTTCCATTCATATTCTTCTCCATCCCTGAAGCAAAGTTCATCCATTTCAGTGAAGAGATCATGGGGAATGTGTTCATCATCATCTTCAGTACCCAAGATAAATTGCACTCGTTGGGATGGTGTGTCTTGAGGAAAAGGAGAAACTGAACAATTAAAAAAGAATTCATACTTCTATTATGCAAGAAACACCACATAACAGTTAAATCTCCTGCTCTCAGTTAGAAATACGCAGTACAATATCCTCCTCAAGAAGGAAGAGGAACAAAACATGGACATTTCTTTAAAAAGAGGTCCTTTTAAAATTTGTCATTGTTTCTGAAAACAAAATATGTGGAAAATTATGTTTATGTAATGCAATTAAGTATTTTTAGCTCTTCTATAGATTAACAACATGACAATAAACATCAACAGCAAAATTAGTAAGAAAGTAAAAGTTAATACACCAAAGGGCTAGAAACCTTTTTTTCACTTTGAGAACAAAGTAAATGATAACATCATGACACAGACACGAACTGGGGGGAGGG